TACTCAGCTGTTTTAAAGTCTGTCCTTCAAATTTCATGTGAACCTAATTTTTAACAGAAAAATTAAAAAAAAAAAAAAAAACCACAACAGAAAATTAAAAGGTAGCAAATATTTTTAAACTCTCAGAGCTATAGTCTTCCAGTAGCCTAAAAAATGCCTGTAAGCATTTAACTCTGTGGCTATTCTAGTGTAACTCTAGTGTTAGACAAAGAAAAGTCATTATATTTTTGTTAATTCTGTCTGTGAAGTTGCTGTTCTCCACAATTCAGGCTGGACCAAAGGAAACATGGTGACTGTTTGACACCCTGACACTGCTGTTTCCTGACTTTCTGCAAGAGCATGTTTCCCATCTCATGGCCTGTTTGGTCTCTACTGTCTGAGCAAGCCTGTCTGGTCCTTCAAAGAGTATATAGATTTAAGTCTATTAACTGAACTAGAGCTTTACCCAGCAATAGAGCATTCAGTGCACATAATTTTTTCCATTATACCATTATTTTCCACACATGGCTGCTATTAGTTTTTACCCTTTTAATCACATGCATTAGAAATGTATTTGTATTTGTGTCTTCAAAGAGCATAATTTAAACTATTCAGCTATTTTTTTCCCAAGTTTGTGGCCAAAGTACTAAAACTCAGCTGAGAAAGACAGAAAGACAGTTTGACAGTTTCCCTGAAGAAACTGAAATATTTAGCCACTTATGTGTACTATTTAACTCTCTGGAACAGTTCTACCCATATAAACTAGAATCACTCCAAGGGGACAAATGCAAAGAATCAGACTGGCCAAATACACAAATAAAATGCCTTTAAGCAAGTAATTATTTTCTTCTGTTCTAGGATTGCTAGTTTCTACCTGAATTTTAGTGTCACTTTGCCCCTCCTCCAGAGGAAACAGACATGAAGAATTAAATTGGATTTGCTTCTTAATTCCATTGACAGATTAAAACCATCCTCCTAGCAAAGAAACTGATCATAGTAAGTTTCATTGTTATAAGGAAGAAGCACAGAAATTACTTGTATTGCTATTATTCTTTAGAATTACTTGTGACTGAGGCTTTTAACACATTAAATACTCAGGCCTGAACTATTTCTATCCTAAACTGAATGTCTCTATTTTCTATGCCTCAGTTAAACTTAGGTTATTAACAGAAGCTTTTCCAAAACTTTTTTAAAATCTGTCTCCTCTTTTTGCTGTATCTAAATGAATGCATTTGGTACAAAATCACGTAGGACTGTCCATGGCTGTGCTTAATATGGGTCTGTACAGACAGTTCATCACTTAACCACAATTTTATCTTCCTTCCACCTAGGATAGAATTCCTGCTAGAAGTCAGAGTACAAACATCTTTTTAAATCAGAGCAATCAGGTGAGTTTGAGGACTCAAATTCTATTAATATCTCAGAATTTAAAAGACAGTTCTAAAAATCACAGCTATTGCTCTTAATCCTATTGTTACTATAACATAGAACAGGCAATTGATCTGTACCATGGGGTCAACAAGCCACCTTTTTTTTTTTTTAACATCAAGATTTCTACAAATAAGGGAAGGGCACAGTGCAAAATGACAAGGTAGAATAAGTAACAAATCACTGCGGTCATTAAAATTCAAAGTCTGAAAAGGACAAAGTCAGGAGGTGGATTCTTATGAGAGAATCCTGACATTGCTCATGATCGTTCTTCTGATCTGTTCCTTTACATGGCACCTCTGGTTTAGAGAGATGGAACAGAGGCACAGATGAGGTAAGCTCACAGAAGACATCAGTGGCAGACACAGGAAGGGGTCCAGCATGCTTATTTCTCTCTCCACTGGGCCATGCTGTCTCTCACAGACACTGAGCCTGCTCTGACTGGCACTATATTGATGAGCTAGTTAGTAAAGCTACTTCTTTGATTCAAGATTTAGGTGCTGGCACTCAGCAAAAGTCCTGAGTCACAAGTTTTTGAGTGCTGGGTTCTGCTCATTGAAGACATTCATCATAATTCCCCTTGATGAAAAAATATAGGTAATGACTGTACTGTAAGGTTAAACAAGTCCAGTATTTGCTATTCAGTTTTCATTGTTGATTACTTGTGCTCATTGTCTTTCTGATTAGAGTACTTTGTGATGAGTCACATCTGATTTTAAGACAGTACAAGGACAGTCACATCACCTTATTCCAGGGGACTTGAACCTGGCACACTCACACTAAAAAAGTAGATGACATGAGCAAGCTCAATTCTGCTCAGTTTACACAGATTGATTTCCATATTTGAACTGGGTAGGAAGCTTCTTTGAGCTGCTCAGCTGTCTACCTTCAGTTATGCTCAGAAACCTGGATGTAATTTTGCTCCTACTGAGTTTACTCAAGTGAGGGCTTTGGTGCAAGAGAGAACAGAGCTTTTCTGATTCACATGCTCTTTTATTTTTACTTATAAATTAGCCCTTCCACATTTTGCAGAATGGCCCCTTGGGATTTCCCCCCTTTGTTTCCCTGTCACACATGCCACTCACCTCCTGGAGCAAGGCACTGCTCTAAATGCAAGGAGCACACTGCAAGGTTTTCAGCCAAGGCTAATCATAGCTTTTTAGTTGTTCCCAGTCATCCCTGGTGAGTCACATGAAGAATGTTCCTCTTACATCTAATGCGAAGAGTATGCCTATGTACTTTTCATCTCTGCTGGTAAAACTGAGACCCATTCGTTCAACAGCAACTTGTGAAGCCTCAGCATTTCTGGGTCTAAGTGAGCAGGGCAGGTGCAGCCTTCCTAGGCCTATGGAGTGCATGGCTTAACACTCAGCCACAGCTCGGGTCCCTGCCAGGATAGGCACCCAAGGAATTTAAATCTTCCCTTTCAGTGCCTTGCTTCTGCTCCTGAAGCAGAAAACAGCTCCAACACAGCTGCCTGCTTTGCTAGGGAGCTGGTGAGGGGGCATGGTACAGAACAGTGAAGAAACCTGTCACCAGGACATTAACAGAAATCCCTTCTCATGCTGACATGCTGAATCTTTGCCTGGTAGCTCAATAGTTGCATGATTTGTGGCCTGGTTGCTGTGTATATAATTAACTCTATAAATAGACAGAGCACAGTCATCATGTATTTTTGCTCTCTAATAATTGATCTAACTTTAGGGATTTGTGATTTGATTCTCAGTGGAAACCACCACCTACCATGACATTCCAAATTAAAGGGTAAAGGCTGGAGCTTGGTACCTTTGCAGAGCCCTGTCAGCTCAAGATGGACATAGACTGAGATTTCTGAGCTTTGTGAAGACATCTGCTTTTGATTCCTACCTATGGAGGTAACATGATTTTATAGTTGGAATAGCAAAAAGTTTGCAGAGCTGTTTATCCTATTAGTATGGAGGAAAATGTTAATAAGCCCATTTATCTACACTGAACACAACTGTGCTCAGACCCCATGGTCTATCAAACCATGTCTTCATGTAGTAGGTAAAATCCACTGAGGAAAGTGAGGTCTCTTGTTTTCCTTAGGTCTCCCTGAAAATGAGATGCAACTCCTAGACAGCAAAAAAAAAGTGATTAAAAAGTATTTTTAATCCCTGTATTAGATGGTGTCAGAGTAATAAGATTTGGGGTTTAGGGAAAAGTACTTTGGAGGAGAAAGCAGCTAGGGCTTTGCACACAGTATTTTGCTTAAATTTTCATTACTTTTTATGGATTTCTTTCCTGGATTATGGAGCACGTGTGTTACCTGAAAAGAGAGTAGAGGAGACAGCCACAAAAGTAGCCAGAAGTGTTTTGGGGGTAATTTAGTTCTGCTCCAAACCTTTTGTTCCAGCAGAAGTGATTCTAATCCAGCTGCCTGGGGTGGACCACCAAATGTTGTCATGGCCAATTTTATTTGCAGTAACTATGTGCAGTGGGATTTCTTTGTACCTCTGACCAAGCTTTACTCAGCTGTGTTTGTGCAATGTTACTTCAATACCAAGAACTTCCATTTTTTTCTTCTCAACTATTGACAAAAATCAGCTATTCTTGCTTTGTATGGAATCTGAATAGAAATATTTTTGTGACAGTTTAAGCTGTGTGAAGGACAGCATTACAGGGAAGGCTTCTTTGTTTTTAAATTAGAAGACAGATTAAAATAGCCTGGTGCTAAATGGTATTTGTAGAGTATGTTCACCAAGGTTATGTTTGTAACCTTACAACAGAGTTTTCCATTTCCATAATTTCAAATAGAAAACAAAAAGGTACCCTGAGCTGTGTTTCAAATTTACAGACAATATTTTGCTAAAAATGCTAACACATTTTAATTTAAACTGTGAATGCTTTCATTAACATACAAAAAGTCGTAGCTAGGAATAGTTATTTTCTTCCCAATTGCATGTAAATGTTCTAAAATGTTAAACCTTTACAACACTGTTGGAGTTTTAGTGTCACTCAAAGCTACAATAACAAATTGATCAATCAATTGATCAACTCTTGTGCTACAATTATCAAGACAATGGTGAGCTAGGTGGGTTTCTTACTATCCAAGAAAGAGGTTTTAAAGGGCATCTGATTAAGAGGTATTTCTGGCTCAAGTACGCTCCCTGAATGTCAATAAATCCGACCCTGGGTGTTCATTTAGATTCAGAGCTGCTTTCAAGACCGCATTAGCCAAGTTGTTCACCGGCTGCGACCCGAACACGTATCCTAACAGCTGCAGAGGCTCCGAACTATGAAAATGAGTCCTTAGGGAAAGCCATTCTCCCCGCGGCGCGGCAGAGGACCCGGGGGGCAGCGCTGGGCGCCCCCGGCCCCCAGAGCTCCCCGCTGCGGCGGGGGCAGGGCCCGGGCAG